AGGATTGAGTCTGACACTGAGTTGAGTTGACTGACTGAGCTTTCAAAGCAAAAAAATTTCGGGTTGTCACAGGTCGGCATGCCTGGGGTAACAAATGTCGTTAACGTTTCTAACGCTTGAAGAACGTCACGATCAGGCTAACTGTGTTAGTATGGTTATAAGAACTCACAAGGAGAAAACATCGACTTATTTACGAATAATATATATTCAAATAATTTTATTTGAATATTAACTTTACATTCGGGTTTCAGAGCGAACACAATCTCAGCTAGTTTTACTTATGAATAAAACTAGGTATCTTTAAAATAAGTATGACCATTATACTTATACTTTTCGGTCTTGGAACATTTAAGACTGCAAATCAGTTTCATGGAAAAATATAAGATTTTCTGGAGAAACACAGGAACATTTTCAAAGAACAAGGAACTTATTTTCTAAAACAAAATGCTTATGAACTCACCAACTTAAATGTTGATACACTTTCAAAATCACTTGTATTCTCATAAAACTAGTAGACAGGTACACACACAGGTTTCGAGAAGACGGAGCATAGTAGCTTCAAGTCTTTGTTTTGCTGTTTACTTTTGGAGTCAATCATACGTGAATCGAATACAATGTAAAATCTATATTAATAATGCAATGGTTGTTGTTGCTTTGATTACTATTTTACAATTGTTGTGATACTGTACATGACGTCCTCCGCCCCCGAACGTTTCCGTTGTTTCGGTTTGGGGGTGTGACATCGGTTTACGTGGGGCGTACTAAGAAATAAGTCGCGATCTGGATCCAGATGCCTAGCCCAATACACTGGGCGAACGACTTACTACGTTGGGTGTACTCGATAACTTCAGAGTACACTGGGCGTACAACCATTACGCTGGGCGTAATGGGCCTCTTGAGCCTTGTTTTCCGCTTTTTGCAATGCATCTTTAACTCCATTCTTTTGGCTTCCTTTCCGCTCTAGCAACAATTATACCCATGAAATATAAATTTAAGCATTATAAGTACATTTTAGTTAGAAATAGCATAATTAAGGCTAAAATATTAAGATATGATATATATATATATATATATATATATATATATATAT